AGTAAAGCCTTATCTCAAAAAAGTCTCAGTCTCCCCCACCCCCACACACACTCATGTCTATTATGTCAAAAAAAAAGATCTTGCCATTTGCAACAACATGGGTGAGCCACAGGGCAGCATGGTTAGTAAAATAAATGAAGATAGATACTGTATAATTTCACTTATATGTGGAATCTTGAAAATTTGAATCCACACAAATATGATAACATGGTGGATCCCAGGGCCTAAAGGCTGGAGAAACTGCAAGATGCTGGTTACATCATATAAATTTGTGTAGTTATATGATTAGCAAGTTGGGGCTGAATATATAGACTGAGCTATCTCCTGTCTGAAATGCATGGGGTTTAATCTACAACACAACCCCCCCCCCAAAAAAACACATTTAAGATAAGTTCTTAGGATTTAATGTATAGTATGATGACTATAGTTAGTAATACCATATTGTATACTGGAAAATTGCTGAGACTTTAAATGCTTTTATCACAAAACAACAATTATGGGCCACTGAGATGACTCAGTGGGTAAAGTTTGCTGCACAACATGGAAACCTGAGTTCAACCCTCAGAATCCAGTAAAAGCAGAAACAGAGAAGTAACTTAACAGAGTTGTCCCTAACTTCCATAGTTGTGCCAAGGAACATGCACCCACAAACATACATATAATAATAATAGATTTTAAACAAAAAATTTGAAGATAATTATACGACATAACTATTTGTTGTAATCATACACACACACATATATGGATAGGTCAGGTCACTAGATTATATGCTTTAAAATGTAATATTTGGCAATTATATATAAATATATATAGATAAATCTGAAAAAATTTAAAAAGTTACCAAACAAAACATAAATTTCTAGACTGATGGAAAAATGAGAGTAAAAGCCTGACACCCTGCGTTTGATTCATGGGACCCACATGGTAGAAGAAGAGAATCAGCTCCTACAACTTATCCTCTGACTTCTACATTTGCCCTGTAGCACAAATGTGACCCCACCCTGCCACAATGCATGGTAAGCACAGCAGATACCATCTCAACTTCACCTCTTCTACAAAACCTATAACACTTTCTAACCTGAGAAAAGAGCAGGTGATTCCCAACAGAACAACATTCTTCAGACTAACTGGAGGTGATGAAAACAAAAGTAGGTTGACAACTATTACAGAGTTGATGAGATACAGGAACCACAGCAACTAAAGTCAACGTGGGATCTAGAACTGAATTTTGGACCTGAAACTTGCTGGTAAACATCTGGTGAAATGAGAACAGACTGGATGAGTTAACATTTTACCAATGTCAATTTCTTACTTTTGACAAATGTGCCTTGGCTACGTTAACATTTGGAGAAGCAGGAAGAAGATATACAGAAGTTCTTGGTATTGTCTTCGCAAAGTTTCTGTAAATTTAAAAATATTCTAAAGATTTATTAAAAATAAAAAGCATGAAAATTCAGACTAAACTACCAAACCTGGCATGGCCTACAAAGCTCCATTTTGTCCACTACTGCTCATAGCTCATCTACTGTTTTTGTTGAAGAAGATGAGCCTCTCAAACAAAGAAAAACAAGTCTAATTAGTGCTCAAGACCATCTGAGAAACTACTAAAATGTTCACTCCAAGGACATATAATAAAGACTTCTGATAGAGTAGTTGGAAATTTATATTTTTAAAAACATCCTACATAGTTTTGAGGATTAGTATGGTTTGGAAGTTCTAGGATAGAAAACAACAGATTCTCTTATTAATAGTCAAATAGTAATATTTATTAACTAAAAGGAGATAATTGTGATTAAAGACTATTTAGATTCAGCTATGAATTACAATAAAGGTAAATTTCCAAGAGTAAGCCTATTATTTTTTTAAAAAATGGTTATCAACTGACAACTATTTCAAAGGACATCAGGCAATGTTTAAAAACCTTTTTTGTTGTTGTTGCCACAACTGAGGGAATGTGTATTGAGACGGCAGGAACCAGAAATGATGTTCAACATTCTATAACGCACACACCAGCCCTACTCAGGACAATTACCTGCCTGAGAATGACTATTGGTCACCTTAAAAGAGGGCCCAGTCCTGTTAACAGGGCCCTGTTAGAATATTAGCATCAAGTCGGCTTGCTATTCCACATGACCTATAAACTCACTATTGGGCAGACTAAAATTATTTTATACATTTTAGAACAGCATAAATATCCACCTTTCCTTTAACTATAGTCACCAAGAGTCAAAATTTAGTCACATAGGTTTTTTTTTAAAACAATTATTTGTTTGTATATTTACTTATTTTTATAGATGTAGAGGTGTGGGCACTCATGCCATGACACACTTACAGAAGTCAGAGGACAACTTGTGGGTGTAAGTTCTCTCCTTCTTCCATGTGGGACCCAGGGACTGAACTCAAGGTCATCAAGCTTGGTGGCAAGTGCTTTTACTCACTGAGTCATTTTGCTGGCCACTACATACTATACACTGCGTGCACACACATGCTTTATTCTTGTTTTGCTGACACCATGATACTCAGCATGCATTTCCTACCTAACCACAATACTATTTCTATACCTAAGGGATTAAACAACTATCACCTTCAAACTCCTAGCTTAAAAATTATATCAATCCCTTATCAAATCAGGGTTCTCTCTTTGCATTAAATGTTATATCTCTTTAGATTATTTTAATCTAAAAGAGTTCCCTCATCTGAAGAAAGCTAGCTAGTTATCTTATAGAATGTCTTGTATTTTGGGCTTGGTTCATTGTTTCCTTGTGGTGTCATGTAACTTTCTTTCCTATTTTGATTCAGTTATCAATAGATTGAAAGAGTCCCTTTCTCCAGATTTAGAAAAGAAAGGAACAAAGACAGAAGAGGTTGGAGGCAGAAAGACGGTAAGAGACGCAGCCTGTAATCATAATGTTCACCTGCTTTCTTTGTTTTCTTTTTTTTTTGTTTTTTTTTTTGAGACAAGGTTTTTCTATGTAGCCCTAGCTATCCTAGAACTCGTTCTGTGGACCAGATTGACCTCAAACTCACAGAGATCGGCCTGCCTCTGCCTTCCCAGTACTGGGATTAAAGGAGTGTGACACCATCGCCCCTTCCCTCTTTTTTTGAAATGGTCTCAAGCAGCCCAAGCTGGTCCTGAACTCCTTATATAGCTGAGAATGTCCTTGAACTCCTAAACTCCTCTTGCCTCTACCTCCCAAGTACAGGGATTACAGGTGTGCACTACTTTGCTCAAGCCTCTACTTTTCCACTGGTGCATAACAGTTGTTAAATTACCTGCAATATTTTTTTTTGAGACAGGGTTTCTTTGTCTTGGACTCGCTCTGTAGACCAGCCTGGACTTAAACTCACAGAGATTCACCTACCCCTCCCTCCCGAGTGCTGGGATTAAAAGCCTGCATCACTACTGCCCAGCCCTTGCATTATTCTTTGTGAGGTTTATTTGTTTATTTATTTTGGTGCTAGAAATGGAACCCAGGTCCTCATACTATTCAAGCATTCTTACTACTCTTATCCCAACCCCATTATTCAATGGTCAAACTGCCCCCAAATTTTTCCAATGCAAACTCCTTCAAGCTAATTCTTTTGACCTGACATGAGTGCTTCAGTCTTTAAGTACTTCCTATAGACATCTCTTTTTTTCAATTAATTAATTATTTTATTTTACTTATTTTTATTTTATGTGAATTGGTGTATGGTAAATGGTGAATTGGTGAATTGGTAAATGGATTTCAGGTGCCCTGGAACTGGAATAATAGACAGCTGTGAGCTACCATGTGGATTCTGGGAATCAAACCTGGGTCCTCTGGAAGAACAGTCAGTGCTCTTAACCAGTGAGCCATCTCTCTAGCCCCAGAATCTCTTGTTTTTTTAAAGACTTGATTGTATGACATTATTTCCTGAAATTCCGGTAACATCTGCTCATTGGTTTTAGTTCTACTTTTCCCAGAAACAAAACATTTTACTACTTCCATGTGAAATGTTGTATTATTTAAAGACAGGTCTGTTTAGGTTGAAGCAATTCTATAAGACTTCTTTACTAATATTATACAAATACATAAACCCTTGATTCAGATTACTGAATTCAATACTAACTCTTACACTTTGGGATATCCATTAGACTTATTGCTTAATTCCATTCCTGGAAGTTGATGAGAGTTTCAAGGTTAATTTCCAAGAATTCATTTGAATGTTCCTATGTCCAAATATATTCTGAGTTAGACTCAAGCACTGGATTGAGTAAGTCATTGCCACTACCACAATAACTAAGAAAAGGATATGAAATATTATGCTAACACTTAACAAACAGCCCAATTACATACAGCATTATTGGTTAAAATTATCATAACAGTCCTTCTATGCTTTTTTCATACACAGTTTTAGAGTTCATTATATTTTATTTATACATAAAGAACACAATACAGATATGCCCTGTCTGTAGAGTATACCTAATTAGCATTCCATATTACTATTCATACTGGCTTGGAGCCTTAAATAAACAATGTCCCTACTCCCAACAGAAAGAAAGTACTTTGGCCTCCAGAGTCAATATGCCTTCAAGAAAATATAGGCAAGCAGCATCTCTTCAGTGGGGCAAGCAGATTTCAGCTCTTCTCTTTCACACATTTCTTCACTATCTGAAACTTATTGCTGGTATTCACTCACTAGGGAAAATTATAATTTTCACAAAAAGTTAATTATATAAAAACAGAAAATTAGTGACTATAATTCTTCTTTTTCAGTAGAGCCAAAGCATATCCTTATTATGTGCTTTGTAACAGTACAAAGGTAAAACAGTAATAAAATGACAATAAAATAATATAGAAATGTGACCATTTAAGTACTAAGAGAAAGAACAGGAGAAAAGTGAGTTCTACAGCGTTTCTTGGGTTTTGGGGAAAACCAAACAAAAGAGGAAGAGAAGGCAACATGAAAGAAGAGAAATGTTAAGAGAGTCAAAAAAGAAAATAACCACAAAAGTACCCCAGCCACCCAGAAAATACCTTTGTTCAGAAGAAGAAAAAAGTCAGATGCTTTTTCTCGGAAAACCCTTTGAGCATCTTCAGCTTTCATTGACACTTCCTTTGTCTGCACTAGGAGAAACCCTTTACCAACCATCTGTGGAGAATAAAACTTCATTCAGATTGGAAAATGAACTTTTGGGATGAAAACAAGGTTTTGTTATTTGAACATTTTTCCATATATAATGCAACCCAGCATTCTGATTTTTGTTTCAGTTCTGAGTAATTCAGACTTCGCTGTCACTACTTTACAACTACTAACCAGAAGCTTAATTTGATGATATAGAAAATGTTCAATGAAAAATACCATAGTTCATTACAATTAACATAATTTGTTAAATATAATAAAGATGTTAAAATAAAACAGGAAAATACTACATAATGTTAATTTTAAAAGCCATCACATCAATTTGTATAGTATAGTACAAGAATGATAGACCACACATATAGGACCATTTGAAGTTTTCTGAATGTTATACATACATACAAAATACATTTAATCTCTCATGAGATGGGTACCACCACCATCTTCTTTGTAGAGATGAGACAATTAAGATGTGACATGGTTAAAAACTTGCCCAAGGTCTATAAATTAACAGAGCTTTGATTTTAATTCAAGTTAATGAGATGGTGGATTAAAGAATTATTTTTTAGGATGGGTGATGGTGGCTTGTAGATGGAGGCTGTTTGTTCATTTTCTGACCACCCAGATCCAAAATAATCACACAGAAACTATGTTAATTGCAATACTGTTTGGTCAATAACTTGTGTGTGTTTCTAGCTAACTCTTACATTTTAAAGTAACCCATTTCTATTGTTCTGTGTATTATCACGAGGTTGTGGCCTACTGACTACTGGCAAGGTTCTGGCAGGCTCCTGCAGGAGTCTTTCTCCTGTGGACGCCACATGGCGTCTCCCTGACTCTGCCTACTCTCTCTCTATATCTCTTCCAGCCTGGCTATATTCTGTTAAGCCATTGGCCGAAAACAGCTTCTTTATTAACCAATGGCAATAAAACATATTAACAGCAAACAGAGGGGAATACCATACCAGTGGCTCATGCATTTGATCCTAGCACTCAGGAGGCAGAGGCAGTGTGAGTTCGAGGAACTGGGAGATCAAGGCCAGCCTTGTCTAGAGTGAGATTCAGGATAGCCAGACCTACACTGAAAAATCATGTCTCAAAAAAAAAAAAATACTTTTAAAAAAAAATCAGTTAACTAAATATTTTTATAAATTTTTATTTACTTGATTGCAAATATTTTCTAATTTATTCTATAAAATCGGTGGTAACAGCTTATTATATTTCATGCTATAGTTCTATTACTGAATATCATACAATAAAATTGAATGAAACTCAAATCCTATTTCAGAACTTTCACTCAATGTGACCTCAGACAAGAAGATACATTAAAAATTACAAAAAACTGGAGCTAGAGAGATGGCTCAGAGGTTAAGAGCATTGACTGCTCTTCCAGAGGTCCTGAGTTAAATTTTCAGCAAACATAGGGTGAACCACAACCATCTATAATGAGATCTGATGCACTATTCTGGTATGTAGGCATACATGCAGGCAGAACACTGAATGCAGAATAAATAAATAAATCTTTAAAAAACTTACAAGAAAACCTATGAACATTATTCTTAGATGATAACTGTAAAGACTTAAAATATCAGAATCAATCTTATCACTGTTTCAAATTTTATAGACTATTCTTCACCCATCATTTTATAATCAGATATATAAACTAAAAAAAATTATGATTAAATGGCCAACCATGTTGGTTCACGCCTATAATCCTAGCAATCAAGAGGTGAAGGCCAGAGTATCAAGAATTCAAGGACATCGTTTGCTACATACCCACCTGCATAAAACATTTTCTTAAAAAAAGGAGATTAATTGAAAATGCCATTATGTAAAACAAAGCATGAACTATGAAGCTGTATCTTAATATTTTCACTGAAGATATTTAGAGACTCTTCTACATGAAAATCATATTTCTGAAGGCTTTTAAGTTGTAGTAACTAACTTCAATTATAAAATATACTTAAATAATTAAAGCCTTTTTTACTCTAATTTATCCTATAAATACATGTGATTCATATAAAAGCAAAAGGTAATTTTGGGGGTGAGAAAACAAAGTCTCAGTAACTTTCCTTAACTTCCTATGCAGTATTTTTTCTACTTTAGCTAGCCTTCTAGAACATCCAATCCTCTCAAGTTTCATACTCTCTATATAAGAAAACTATGTGTTATTTGTGAAAACAATATAAAATGTGATTTTATGATATTCCTCAGCAAATCAGAGTTGGTAACTGCATCTCCCAGTCTAAGCTGTCCTAATATAGCTGTGCTGTGAAAATAATTAACTTTTATTTTTTCAGAACTAGTTTCTTTGCTAACTCAAGTATAATTTAAATAACATATAACCTCTCAACATAACATTTAGGCCTTTCCCTTTTCTTAGCATCATGGGTTGAGTGTGATAAAGACCCTTGGTGTGTTAGTTGGGCTCGTCATGCCTTTTGTGTGCATTAATGGTTTTGAGGATGCATGCAGTAAACTCATTGAAAACTCAATCATCTATGAACCAATAAATTCAAATATCATTGGTCACTTGTCAGTATTATGCTCTCTACAAAGAAATTTTATACATTAAGTTGTGGGGGAAAAACAAACAAACAATCAAACAAACAAAAAGTAACAGCCATGGAACTTTTCAGAAAAAAAATCAACAGAAAAAGAAAAATCAAATTCACATCAAATGGAAAACTCTGGGACCCATGTACACTTTACACTTCCCGATTAAACACAGGAAGTCACCTATGACTTTTGTGGAGAGGGAAGTTAACTGTGGGACTGTGGTGGCCAGTGAAGTACACTGCCTGTGGGAATCATCTTTAACCTATTCCAAAATTATCTTAAATAAAGAAAGAGCTTTCTGGCCCATACATGCAAATTCTTTTAAAAAAATATTTATTTATGTATTATGTATACAATATTCTGTCTGTGTGTATGCCTGCAGGCCAGAAGAGGGCACCAGACCTCATTACAGATGGTTGTGAGCTACCATGTGGTTGCTGGGAATTGAACTCAGGACCTTTGGGAAAGCAGAGAATGCTCTTAACCTCTGAGCCATCTCTCCAGCCCCTACATGCAAATTCTTTAGGTGGGAAGATGGATGGAACCCTCCCTACATTTTAAATCTTTAATGATGTCATCTTTTAAAAGTTTTACACTTAAAAAATGTGTCGGTCTTTTACTATTCAGCATGCTTTGACACTCTACATATGTACTTTTCATTTTCAAAAATTTTCTCTTGCACTCTCTTCCTTTTTTTTTCCTTTCTGTGTGAACCAATTAGTTAATTAGGCTTACTTACAGAACATAGGCGAAGCATTACAGGAAAACTGGTGACCTCTAAACAACTTCACTTTCAACCATTTATTCCTTAATTCTGTGCTTTCAGAACTAGACAATTCTAACCAAAGCATCTCCAGTTTAGAAGCCCTGAGTCAACATGCTTTGGGAAACATTCCTACACCATGCATCCATCAGCTTTCTTTCAGCACTAGGACAGCACAACAGCTTTATATTTAAGGGTTAATATACGGGAAGAGTATCAGCCTGATGTGTACCAGCTAGCTGAGTGACTTTTGCCAAGTTATTTACCCTGTCTGTGGGTCACAGGGTTGTTTTGAACACTGAGTTAATTCATGTAAATTTATTTTACAAGTGCCTGACTGGTAAAGGTATGTAAGAGTAAGTTACTATTATTATTAGCATAGGATTGTTATTTTGCATTCCAGAAGGACATTTAAAGAACATCACTCTTCTAAGTCATATTCTTACAAAGGCCATTTCACACATCAGATACCAAAAGTCAAAAGGTTCAGAGCATTGATGACTCACAAATAGACTGTGTTGATGGCTTTTTTCTTTAAACATGTTAAAATATCCTAATTATCTAACAAAATGGAGTTTAACTTGAATGATTAATCTTTGAAAATTATATGTAGTAAAAACTCACATACAAAAGAAATTTGCCATACACTTCTCAGATGTTGAATTAATATGTGACTATATAGTATAAAGTCTACAAGCATTTTTCTTTTTACATTTTACAAAACTCACAGCATGTTTCTTATTATACTGGCACAACAAAAGAAAATATCAACACCATAAGCCAGGCACAATAGCCTAAGCCATTGGAATGCAGAGGCAGGAAGATTGCTGAAGTTCAAGACACAGGCCTGGTCTACACAGTAAGACCCTGAATCAAAAAAAAAAAACAAAAAAACAAAAAAAAAGAAGAAAATACCAAAGTCTAAAAATTATACTTTAGCTTCTATAGTTTTAAAAGCTATACCTCAAATATACTTTGTAAATTCCAGACATGGGTTCTCTGCATTACAGATGTATAGCTATCAAGAGGTATTCATTTTTACTTTTTATCAACACACTCACTCCTTTTGGTGTGCTTCAACTTCAGAAAGACACTTACTTATTCACTTCTGGAAGCTTGAGTTTTAAACAGATTGCTATTGGCTAAATTCTGATCAATATATCTTCCTACCAACAAAGGAGCTACTGCTTCTGGAGCCTAACCTCTCCCTCCTCACATGCTTTTCAAGGGGAAGTTGTTGTGCATTAACTCTTCTCTACCTGATGAACTCACTGAAAACCACCAGTCATGAGTCTTGGAGATTCTGCCATTCGAATTCCCATGTTATTCATATTATTTGTAGATCCCCACTTCCTATCAATGGCAATGGGACAAAAGAAAATAAGGAGCCCAATGTGGACGACACTGTCAAAACAGGGTCTAAAAGTTGTATTCTTAAATGTCATTTCCAACTTCTAAACCAATTTAAACTCCAAAAGAATTTCCTCATTAGCAAAGACTATGCTTCAATATGCAGTACTGTTGTGAGTGTGTGTGAAAATTGTTTATGATGAAGAATGGAAAATCTTTGAGGCAAAGAAATGTATCTGTATGCCTTAATTTCCAGTATCACCTAGGTTCTGTTATTTCTAAGTTGCAACTAATTTCAAGGTATTTAAGCAAAGATGTGGAAAACAAACATGTATCATATAATAAATGAAATATGATAACAGCATAACTTGCATATAATTGGTGCTAACAAATGCTTACTAAATTAAATTAGATTTAAAAGTTGTATTGAGAAAGGATTTTGTGGACCAAGAGATCTGCTTCTAAGGTAAACTTTGTGGAGTCAAGGAATTGGGGGACTATAACTTGAGGGTTGCCAGTATTTCTAATAATTAATTTGTAAATAATTGATGTGGAATTTCCCTCTGTATGCTGTGAATACCACTGGTGAATAAAGAAATTGCCTTGGCCTGTTGATAGGGTGGAACTTAGGTAGGCAGGGAAAACTAAACGGAATGCTGGGAGAAGGAAGGTGGAGTAGAGAGAAGCCATGTAGCTGCCAGAGACAGACACCGGAACTTTACCCAATAAGCCACAGCCATGTGGCAACACACAGATTAATAGAAATGGGTTAAATTAATATGTAAGAGTTAGCCAATAAGAAGCTAGAGCTAATGGGTTAAGCAGTGATTTAATTAATACAGTTTCTGTGTGATTATTTTGGGGCTAAGTGGCCAGGAACAAACAAGCAGCCTCCCTCCTACTACAAATAATAACAATAAATAAAATCTAGCACAGTCCTATCTATGTCTATTTCTCTTCTCTCTCTCTCTCCTTACCTCATCAATTAATTTCCTGGCATTTGCAGTTGTATAATCATCAGCAAATAATACCACTAGGCATGACTCATCGCTGTCCTTCTGTCTCTGACCCCAGGATATGGGAACAATGCTTCTATTGGCTTCTGTAGAAATTCGTACAGCTTTGAATTCTTCAGTAGTTGGAATAGGAACATAGTCTTGAACCACAGCATTTTCTGGAAGAAGGCTCCAGTTGAGTTCTCCTGACACAGGTGTAAAATCATGAACATGACTCCATATATTATTGAAGATACTGAGCCCTGCATCTTTGAATTGGGCTGCTAATTCAGGGTAGTACCACTGAAAACATCCAAACTTGATATTTGTGGAAGATTCAATAATGGGTTGAGTGGCACAACACAGAAAGACTTCCAACTTTCTACAGTCCCTCACACGAAATTGTTGGCAAGCTAATGTACACTTGCAATCTCTACAATTTCGGAAAAATACACTGCCTTTCACAGGTCCCAAAAAAAGTATGCAGTTGGTGCAGTCGTCAATGGTAATGGTAGCTGAGTGATCAAAAATATAGATGTTACAGTTTTCACAGTCTTGAATGACAAACTGTTGTCCTGCCACTTTTCCAGGTAAGCGACCTACTGTTTCATCCTTCAGTCCACTGAACATGTAATCTTTTGGGTCAACCTGTAGGGACAAAACACAAGATCTTGAGTATTGTTAACATTATTCACCCCAAACAAGTAAATGCCTATGGGATGCCAGACACAGTTGTTAATGCTAAAGCTTAAGTTTCCAATTTCATTGGCTTTGCAATAAATTAGAAAATTAATAGGATACAACATTTTCCCCCAGTAAATAAAAGGAATAAGGGAGGAAAGGGGGAAGGAAACCAAAGTTCAAGGACACAATCACCAAGTGCTTGGATCTTGTTCCAGCCATTTCAGTTCTAAATTTTTTAGGCAACTGGGGATATTCACACACAAACACAAAGCCTATAACCTCATGGACTTTTTTTTTTCATTTTCTAAGTGTGATAACAATACTGCTGTTACAAGAGAGGTGAACTTAGCAATTTTAATTAATATAAAGTTTATAACCTTGGTTAATATATATCTACCTCCCCAGAAATGGATCTGCTCTTTCTGCTGTCAAATTTCATGCCTGGGCATGCAAAGCTAAAAGAAAGTCTGTGTGACTCTATGATTTGGGTCTTCCTGTGAGTTAACCCAGGTGACATATTATCATTGCTATTATCAACAGCCTTTCAGCTTATTTGGAATCTGTGTGACCACAAAATTAGTATGGAGTGCAATGATAAAGAATATATTTTTAAAAACAATTATTTTAACAGAGTAGATATGTAAGTCAGACATGAGAGTACACACCTGCAATCCCAGTATTTGGGAAGCTGAGGCAGAAAGATTACTAGGAATTCAAGTCCAGCCAGGGTTACAAAGCAAGAGTCTGCTGCAAAAACATTGCTAGGAAAGTAAAGCTTATATCCTCTGCATCTATCCCAATCAGAACATACTATTTCAGCTGGGATGTAGCTCAGTATTAAATTGTGTGTTTAGAATGTACAAGGCCTCCCAACTAAAAAAATAAAATAAAAATAAATTAAAAAAAAGCCTAGGACCAGATGATTTCAGCGCAGAATTCTACCAGAATTTCAAAGAAGAACTCCTCAATACTTCTCAAATTGTTCCACACAATAGAAACAGAAGGAACATTATCAAATTCTTTTTACGAGGTTACAGTTACACTGATACCCAAACCATACAAAGATGTGATTAAGAAAGAGAATTACAGAACAATCTCCTTCATAAACATTGTGCAAAAATACTCAATAACACACTGGCAAACTGAATTCATGACACATCAGAAAAATAATCCACTATGATCATGTAGGCGTCACCCCAGAGATGCAGGGATGGTTCAACATACAAAAATCCATCATTATGTAATCCACCACATAAACTGAAAGAAAAAAAACCCACATGATCATCTCATTAGATGCTGAAAAGCCTTTGACAAAATCCAATACCCTTTATGATAAAGGTCTTGTAAAGATCAGGGATACAAGGAACGTATATAAACATAATAAAAAGCAATATACAGCAAGCTGACAGCCAACATCAAGTTAAATAGTGAGAAACTCAAAGTGACTTCTCTGAAATTAGGAACAAGACAAGACTGTCCACTCTTTCATTCATTTCATTCATTATATCTACTCAACATGGTACTCAAAGCTCTAGCTAATGCAATAAGGCAACAAAAGGAGATCAAGGGAATACAAATTGGAAAAGAGGAAGTCAAACTTTCACTATTTGCAGATGATAAGATAGTATACTTAAGTGACCCAAAAAATTCTACGAGGGAACTCCTAGGGCTGATAAATACCTTCAGTAATGTGACAGGATACAAGACCAACTCAAAAAATCAGTAGCCCTCCTATATACAAATGATAAAGGGGCTGAGAAAGAAATCAGAGAAACATCACACTTTAGAATAGCCACAAATAACATAAAATATCTTGGGGTAACACTAACCAAAGAAGTGAAAGACCTGTACGAAGAACTTTAAGTCTTTGAAGAAAGAAACTGAAGAAGATATCAGAAAATGGAAAGATCTCCCATGCTTTTGGATAGGTAGGATCAACATAATAAAAATGGCAATCTTACCAAAAGCAATCTATAGATTCAGTGCAATCCCCCATCAAAATCCCAACACAATTCTTCACAACCTCAAAAGAACAATACTCAACTTCATATGGAAAAGCAAAAAAAACCACAAAAAACAAAAAACAAAACAAAACAAAACATAAAACCCAGGATAGCCCAAACAATCCTGTACAAGAAAGGAACATCTGAAGGCATCACCATCCCTGACTCCAAGCTCTATTAAGAGCTAAACTTGGTATTGGCATAAAAACAGACAGGTGGACCAACAGAATCAAATCAAAGACCCTGATAGTAATCCACACACCTATGAACAATTGATTGTTGACAAAGAAGCCAAAATTGTTCAATGGGAAAAGAAAGCATCTTCAACAAATGGTGCTGGCATAACTGGATGTCAATATGTAGAAGAATGCAAATAGATCCATATCTATCCCCATGAACAAAACTTAAGTCCAAATGGATAAAAGACCTCAATATAAATCCAGCCACAGTGAACCTGATAGAAGAGAAAGTGGGAAGTAGCCTTAAACACGTTGACACAGGAGACCACTTCCTAAATATAACACCAGTAGCACAGACACTGAGAGAAACAATAAATAAATGGGGCTTCCTGAAACTGAGAAGCTTCCATAAGGCAAAGGATAGGGGCTGGAGATATGGCTCAGTGGTTAAGAGCACTGACTGCTCTTCCAGAGGTCCTGAGTTCAATTCCAGCAACCACATGGTGGCTTACAACCATCTGTAATGAGATCTGGCGCCCCCCACTGGCGTGTGGGCATACAAGGAGGCAGAATGTTGTATACATAATAAATAAATCTTTAAAAAAATATTAAAAAAAGGCAAAGGACACAGTCAATAAGACAAAACGGCAGTCTACTGAGTGGGAAAAGATCTTCACCAACTCCAGACAGAGGACTGATCTCCAAAATATATAAAGAACTCAATAAACTCGACATCAAAATACCAAATAAACCAATTATAAAATGGGGTACAGATCTAAACAGTGGATTTTCAACAGAAGAATCTCAAATGGTCAAAAGACACTTAAGGAAATGTTCAACATCTTAAGTCATCATGGAAATGCAAACCAAAACAACTCTGAGATAGCATCTTTTACCAGTCAGAATGGCTAAGATCAAAAACACCAATGATAACTTATGCTGGAGAGGATGTGGAGTAAGGGGAACACTCCTCCATTGCTGATGAGAGTGTAAACTTGTACAGTCACTTTGAAAATCAGTGTGGCAGTTTCTTAGAAAATTGGGAATCAATCTACTCAGGATCCAGCAATACCACTCTTGGGCATATACCCAAAAGATATCATACTACAAGGACATTTGCTCAACTGTGTTCAAAGCAGCATTATTTGTAACAGCCAGAACCTAGAAACAACCTAGATGCCCCTCAACTGAAGAATGGAAAAAGAAAATGTGGTACATTTACACAATGGAGTATTACACAGCAGTAAAAACAAATGACATCTTGAAATTTGCTTGCAAATGAATGGAATTAGAAAAAAAACATCCTGAGTGAGGTAACCCAGACCCAGAAAGAAAAACACAGTATGTACTCACTCACAAATGTATATTAGATGTAAAGCAAAAAAACAAACAAACAAACAAACAACTAGCCTATAGTCCACAACCCTAGAGAAGCTAGGTAACAAGGAGAATCCTAAGAGAAACATAAATGGATCCCCTGGGAAGGGGAAATAGACAAGATCTTCTGAGAAAATTGAGAGTGTGGGGGTGGAGAAAAGGGAGGAAGAGAGGAGAAGAGCAGGGGAAGGAGATCATGAGGGAATGTGATGCTCAAGAAGGGGGAAGGACAGAGAGGGAGAGAGCAAGAAAAGAGATTGAGGAAGCCATTATGGGGCTAGTGAGAAACATGGCACTAGGGAAATTCCCAGGAATCCATAAGGATGACCCCCAGCTAAGACCCTAAGCAATAGAGGAGAGGGTGCTTGAACTGGCCTTCCCCTGTAATCAGATTGATGACTATTTTAATTGTCACCATAGAACCTTCATTCAGCAACTGATGGAAGCAGATGCAGAGATCCACAGTGAAGCACTGGGCTGAGCTCCCAAAATTCAGTGGAAGAGAGGGAAGAGTGAGAATATGAGCAAAGGGGTCAAGATCATGATAGGAAAACCCACAGAGACAGCTGACCTGAGCTAATGGGAGCTCATCAACTCTGGACTGACAGAGGGGGAACTTTTATAGGACTAAACTAGGTCCTCTGAATGTGGGTGACAGTTGTGCAGCTGGGGCAGTGGGACCAGGATTTATCTCTAGTGCTTGAACTGGCTTTTTGGAACCTGTTCTCTTTGGAGGGATACCTTGCTCAGCCTAGATATAGTGGGGAGGGCCTTGGTCCTGCCGCAAAGTGATGTGACAGACTTTGCTGACTCCCTATGGGAAGCCTCACTCTGAGGAATGGATGGGGGTTAGGGCTGGGGGAAAGGTGGAAGGAGCAAGAGAAGGGGAGGGAGTGGAAACTGAGATTGGTATGTAAAATGAGAAAAGATTGTCTTAAAAAATAAATAAATTTAAATTAAAAATAAAGATGCATACTATTTCAGCTTTCTGGTGCTTTGATTTTCCTGGTGCTTTAATTTTTAAAACTTCCACTTCTTAAAAAACATTTTAAATCGAAAATCTTTACTTCACTACAAAATGATATTTAGGTGTAAATTTAGGCCTAAAATATGTCACATTATTTTTTAATTTTAACTGTGCTATCAAAATATAGTCAGAGGCTAGACATATAATTCAGTGATGGAGTGTGATTAGCATGCCTGAGTCTCAGAGTCTGATCTGAAGCACATAACACCAACACACAGACACACACAATAGACATAGACAGACAGAAACTCAAGAGGCAGGGGGAGGGAGGAGGAAAAGAAGGGAGTGTGTTAATAAAAGGCCAGCCTGACAGTTTAAAACAGCTAAAATGTATTATTTTTTAATTTATTGAAACTATTTTAACTGTTTATAAATATA